ATAAGCTTCTTGGAATCAAAGTTGAGTCTAGAAATGTGAATCCTTTATGGAAATACATGTAAGACAGTCCAGTCTAATAATTCATCAGACTGAAAGAACAAAGTAGACATATGAAACATAAAAAAATCATTTGACTAGACACACACTTGTGACATTTATTGGCTCTACTATAAAGAGAAAAACCTTAAAACTTTCAGAGATAGGAAAAAGACAATTCACATGTTATTTACAAAATAATGACAATCAATTGACATTAGACATAACTGGAAGCAAGAAGAGCAATGTCTTCAAAGTTTTAAGGGGAAATTATTTTAAACCTAGAGTTCTATACTCTGACAATTACCAATTAATTATAGGGGTAAAAATACATTTTTCAAATCTCTAAGGATCCAGGAACTTTTCTACTCACCCATCATCACATTTCTAGAGATGGTGATAAGAGAAACGGGCAAACTGGCAGTTAAATATATTCCGGGTGGGGGGAGTGGAGGAAAGATAAGAAATCTGAAGAAATATTAATAAAAATATATTTAACCTTGATTATTTGAAAACTTTTTTTCAGTCAAGGATTTCAGGGGCATAAAATTTTCCTTCCTTCTGAGTTCATAGTTCTTGATTCTAGAGTAACTTATATTTATGGCATCATATTATTATGGATGTTATTTTTAAGGCAATGTGGGGCTTATTTCTGTATAGGTTGGAAGCCTATGACTATTTAGCTCTTACTGAGTCAGGTAAGTTAGTCTAATTTTGGGGTTCAATTTTAGGAAGTCCATTATGATTATCAATTATTTTGCTATATACCTAAAGCCATGTTCTAGCAGCTTTATCAATAATAGTTGATATTTTGAGTTCTAGTGGCTGACTTCTTTGCTATAATTGAATAGATTCTGAACTTGGGCAAAGCAGAGAATTTCTGTGTACTGGGACCTAAGATACTCACATTTAAACCCTAGAGAAATTTGGGTAAGTAAAGAACATTCAGAAATTGAGGCTTTCTGTGGGTCAACCCATGTGGGTTTTTGACTTTGCAGTAGCATCTATTACGTCATGCAGTTGTTTCAAGATGTGTGGTTGGATTTAGCGGGATGATCTCAGCAAGTAGCTTTAGTTCTTAGTGTAAAAGCAAGGCTTATGAGTTAGAAAAGGGTAACGAGCTCTTGAAGATCAGGTAGACAGGTATAAAATAGGAGTGATGAAGTTCTGTGTTCTAGTTCTTGATGTGAGGCTTAGAAAAGGGGAAGATATTTGGTTTTGTTAAACCAGAAAATGTGTCTGAGATTGAAGGATACCAAATAGAGAATTATGGACAAGATATCAGAGAGTTGTGACACCCACAGAGGGTGTGCACAGATCCAGAAAACTATGAAGAATCAATTTTAATATGGACAGTACATATTGAGATGAATAAGTGACTCATTTCTTAAAGATTAGGAGAATTATATCAAAAGGTTACAGAAAAACTGGTTCAATTTTAGAAGGGAGGATCAGATTGGGAAAATTAATGTGAAAAGCTCCAAGAATTATGAGGTGAGTTTCAGATGAACACAGTTACTGTAGGTATTAACAGTGCTCTATATAAAACTGCTAAAAAAATGTATAAAATAAAAGCTTTAAGGGAAAGTACAACATGGATGAGGTATAGTAAGACAAACCAGTCAGAACAATAATAGACTTTAAGCCTAGGTTAGATGTTATTCTGGTGGAAGAATAGCACATGTGTGATAATACACAACTCAGGAAGGTAAAGGTGGGAAGATTTTTTTTTTTTAATAATGGGTGTTTTTAATACACACAGTATTTACTGGTTCCCTGTTTCTCATTATAGGCCAAGAGGCAGAAATGCATGTAAGAAAAACAAGTCCCTGGGCCAGAAAGTAAAGCAAAAAGTAAAATTACAGTAGGAACTAAGATCTAGCAAGCTGAGCTAACTTATGTGTGTTTAATTTGCTGGAAGGCAAAGGTATCTCATATTAGACATTTGTGTGGAACTTCCAACATTACAAATTTCTAAACATTGCAAGATTTTGGAAAGTCTCAAATGCTTCACTCTCATGTGGTTTTTAAAAATATGCAATAGTTAACTTATTTTAGTAAGACCTCCCAATTAAATTTAAATTCACAGATTGTCAATTGTAGATATCTGACATCCTTGCAAAGTTAAAAATAAGATTTTTATCCAGCTTTACCTATTCCTACAGAGACTAATAAATCTCTGCTATGAACTTTGGGATAGTGACTGAAGGTCTAAGTTAGGTACTATGTCCTGGAAACATCATTTTGCTGGGCCAATGGATAAACTCATTGCCACTGAGTTGATTCCAACACATAGCAACCCTATAGGACAGAGTGAACTGCCCCTTGGGGTTTTCAAGGAGCAGCTGGTGGATTTGAACTGCCAACCTTTTGGTTAGCAGTCGAGTCCTTAACCACTGCACCACCAGGGCTCTGAGCCAATGGTTTGAAAGTGGAAATTACTTATAAGAAGGAGCCCTGGTGGTGCAGTGGTTAAGAGCTTGGCTGCTAACGAAAAGGTTGGCAGTTTGAA